TTTAGAATTTAGTAAATAATCTATCTAGAGATGCGTTAGATTATGATTTGTTTAAATGACTGAGAAAATAAGCTGTGCTGAATGGAATGGATATTCCTGTTTTTTGTGTCTTTTTGTAACTTGAAAGTTTTGCCTAGAGGGATTCTCTGTGTTTTGAATCTAATTATCCTGTAAGGTATTTACCATCCTGATTTTACAGAGGTGATTCTTTTTTACTTTTTCTTCTATTAAAATTCTTCTTTTAAGAAACTGAATGTTTTTTTCATTGTTCTTAAGACCCAAGGGTTTGGGTCTGTGGTCATCTATGCAAATTGGTGAGGATTTTTATCAAACCTTCCCCTGAAAAAAGGGGGTAAGATTTGGGAGGATTTTGAGGGGAAAGACGTTTCCAAAAGAACTCTTTCCTAAAAATAATAATACCGGTGTTAGACGTTTGGTGGTGGCAGCGAAAGTCCAAGGGCAAAGGGTAAAATAGTTTGTACCTTGGGGAAGTTTTAACCTAAGCTGGTAAAAGTAAGCTGAGGAGGTTTTCATGCAGGTCCCCACATCTGTACCCTAGAGTTCAGAGTGGGGAAGGAACCTTGACAACTCCAGTGGAGCTATGGCTGATTGACCCCAGCTGGGGATCTGGCCCCATTGACTCCAATCAGGGCCGGCTGCAGCTTTTTTGCCACCCCAAGCGGCGAAAAAAAAAAAGAAAAGAAAAACCTGATTGAGTCGCCGCCGAATTGCCGCACAAGACCTGGACATGCTTCGCTGGTGCCTGGAGCTGGCTCTGACTCCAATGGAGCTACAGCCGATTGACACCAGCTGGGGATCAAACAGTGAGTATGGGACACCCAGGCAGAAGGACATGGAACTGTTTATCATCAGCCACTAGGGGCTCTCCACAGCAACTGTACACAGCTGTGCCCTGCAGCTGGCCTGCTGAGCACCCTAAAGACGGCCCATGGTCAATGTCCTCTGTTCTATGCTAGCCATGGGCCCCAAGTATCTATCTATCTATCTATCTATCCCCATACACCTCCAGTATCTATCTATCTATCTATCTATCTATCGTGGGAGCTGCCTCAAAGGGGCTTGGTTGGAAATACAAGCGGGTGCTGTGGCCGTAGTTGCTCCCCTGCAAAGCTTAATTCTGGGGCCCCTACCAGGGACCCCGCGTGTGCAATGTGCTGGGTGCAAAACGCCACTCGGAGCCCTGGGCGGCACTTAGCATGATGGAGCAGCTAACTCCTGGTGGGCCGGATCTGGCTGAAAGAACACCCCCCCCACCCCCAGGATGCATTTGCCCAGCGCCACCACTGAATAGGCGACAGAGGGTGAAAATGCCATCGGAAAGGGCCACTGCAGTGAAATTGATGCTGCTGGAGGGCCAGAGTTCCTGCCACAAAGCTCCCATTCCCAAATGAGTTTTGCAAGACAGTTCGGGCGTTATTGAAACCTTCCACCTCCCCAGATGGGGCAGACGCTAATCCCGACTGCCCTCTGAGCTCCAGTCTGAAGCGACTGCTCCTCTGGAGAGGGGAGAAGGGAAATTCAGAGTCAGATGTATGCGTGGAGGTCGGGTGGCTGGGGCGGGTGGGGTGGCTGTGAAGATTGGGGGCATGGCTGGGCATGGCAGAGGGATGCTGAGTCCTGCAGGGAAGGCTGGATGAGCTTAGGCAGGGGAAGTGGAACACTCATGCTTGGGGTCAGCTCAACAGAGTATGAATTTAGGGTTGCGTTAGTATGGAAAGGACATGAACAGAACATGCCACGGGCTGGGATCAGCTCTGTGCATTCTTGGCAGGGCCCAGGTCTTTGTTTAGGGTGGTATCTAAGTTATCTCCCTCCCACAGTGGGAGCAGGGCTGTGAAATTCCTGGAGTTGGAATAACGAGGAGTCTGGTGGCACCTTAAAGACTAACAGATTTATTTGGGCATAAGTTGTCGTGGGTAAAAACTCCACTTCTTCAGATCCACGGATACTCAGTAACAGTTTTAAAAGTAGCCATTCTTCAACAAAAAAACTTTAAAAACAGACTTCAAAGAGAAACTGCAGAACTTCAATTCATTTGCAAACTTAACACCATCAATGTGGGCTTGCATAGGGACTGGAAATGGCTGGCTCTCTACAAAAGCAATTTTCTCTCATCAGTTATTGGGAGTGGACCACATCCACCCTGACTGAATTGGCCTTGTCAGCATTGGTTCTCCACTTGCAAAGTAACTCCTTTCTCTTCCTGTGCCAATATATATTTATGCCTGTATCTGTAATTTTCAATCCATGCATCTGAAGTGGGTTTTTACCCATGAAAGCTTATGCCTAAATAAATCTGTTAGTCTTTAAGGTGCCACCAGACTCCTTGTTGTTTTTGTAGATACAGACTAACATGGCTACCCCTCTGATACTTGGAGTTGGAATGTGCAGGGAAGGGAACATCTGCCAGCATCTGGTTCCCCCATAATTAGCCCTAATTAGCACTCCCGCCAGCTCCACCAGCAGCTGCTTCCAAGAGGGATTATTAGCAGGGTAGAGATCTTTATCGCCCGGCTGATTCATACCTTGATAATCCCACACCCACACCATGATGTGCAGACACCTGCCTATTGGACAGGAGATGGAGCTCAGCCTCCGTCTGGCACCTCCAGAAAAGATAAATCAAGAACGGACAATTTTACTTTGGAGGGAAAAATCAAACGCACAACGACAAAATGGGGACTAGCGAGCCAGGCGGTCATCCTGCTGAAAAGGACCCGGGGGTTACAGTGTGTCCGAATGAGTATGTCAACAGTGTGAGGCCTCTGGGAAAAAGGCTGATGTCACAGTGGGGTGGATTAACAGGAACGTTGTAAGTAAGACGTGGGAGGAACTTGTCCTGCTCTACTCAGCACTAATGAGGCCTCAGTGGCAGTCCCATGTCCAGCTCTGGGCACCACACTTTAGGACAGATGTGGACAAGTTGGAGAGCGACAAAAGCGATAGAAGGTTTAGAAAACCTGACGTGCGAGGAAAGGTTTAATTCTTGAGGGAATGTACCAAGGACAAGGAAGGATTTGTGCCTTGGGGAAGTTTTTAACCTAAACTGGTAAAAATAAGCTTAGGGAGTCTTTCATACGGGTCCCCACATCTGTACCCTAGAGTTCAGAGTGGGGAGGGAACCCTGACATGGTGGTAGCGGTGGGATGATAAGGTGTCTGGGGTTTTCCTTGGGGTGTAGTTGGGGCCTTGGGCTTCCCCTGGTGGTAGTGTGTGGTCACGGGGTGTCCCCTCTGGTATCCGCCCAAACTGCGACCAGGGTTGTTCCTCTCTGCTACCTCCACCCATTTTGTTTCGATTTGCCCCACCTCTCTGACAGTCTGGGACTGCTTGAATTGATCAGCATAAGAAGCAAGACTTTCTGCTGAGTCCATTTTTTTATCCCATAAACACTGTTTTACATTATTATTGGTCATAGTCAGGAACCGCTTTTGGACAACCAAATTACACATTCCTTCAGAGCTAGTTACACCCCTTTCTTTGACCCATTTATCTAACAGATCCTTCATCTGGTCATTACTTAGTCCAGCCCCTCTCTTAAGGGCTCTAAATTTTACTCTGTAAGTTTTAGGTGTAATTTGAAATTGCTTTAAAACCAAATCCTTGCATTTACCACAGTCAGAAGCATCCTCAATAGGCATCTTGTTGAATATGTCCAGAGCTCTGCCAGTCAATTTTGCTACCAATGTGGTCATCTTGTGATTTTCAGGAATTGCAAGGAGGGTGCACAGTCTCTTAAAGGTGATGAAATATTTAGCAATATCACTGGATTCATTATACTGTGGACATAGTCGCTCCCATCTGTGGATTTTTGAGGAGGTGGAGCCAAGTGCTGAAGGGTTTTGTCCTTTTAACTTTATCACCTCCAGTTTGTGCTTTCTCTCTCTTTCCCTCTCCTCCTGAGCATGCTGCCTCTCTTTTTCCTTCTCCACCCTAGCAGCTTTTTCTCTGGCCACTTGTGCATCAATCTTCATCTGTTTTAATTTCAGTTGTTTTTTATGTTTCTTCTTTCTTTCTTCAGCTTCCAATCTGGCTAAATCTAGGTTTTTTCGGACGTTACTTTTCGTCATCCTAGCCTCCCTGTGCTTAGCCTAGCCTAACCCGAGAGCTAGAAAGAAAGAAAAAAACCCAGCTTGTGAATTCCCTTGCTGTAACTTACCTACTCTGCCCTGAGGCAGAGAAGAAAGAAAAAACACAAACAAACAAAAAAAACCCTCCAGCTGCTTTCAGTTAAAAAAAAAAAAAGTGTCCTTTAAAAAAAAAAAAAAACCAAAAAAAACCTCCATGACTTCAAGCAGTCAAAAGAAAAAAATATTTTCTTTTTAAAATCCTAAGGTCTGTGCTTCTGGTTCAGAATGATCCCACTGCGCTGCTATGATGTCAGGGTTCCCTCCCCACTCTGAACTCTAGGGTACAGATGTGGGGACTCGCATGAAAGACCCCCGAAGCTTATTTTTACCAGCTTCGGTTAAAAACTTCCCCAAGGCACAAATCCTTCCTTGTCCTTGGATGAGTACTGCTGCCACCACCAAGTGAGTCAGACAAAGATTCAGGAAAAGGACAAGGACCACTTGGAGTTCCTGTTTCCCGAAAATATTCCCCCAAGCCCCTTCCCCCTCTTTCCTGGGGAGGCTAGAGAATAATCTACCAACCAGATAGGTAAACAAGGCAAGCACAGGCCAGACCCTGGGGTTTTTAGGACACTAAAAACCAATCCGATTCTTAAAAAACAGAACTTTATTATAAAGAAAAAAAAAGTAAAAGAGACACCTCTGTAAAATCAGGATGGAAGGTAATTTTACAGGGTGATAAGACTTAAAACACAGAGGATTCCCCCCTAGGCAAAACTTCAAAGTTACAAAAAACAGGGATAAACCTCCCTCTTAGCACAGGGAAAATTCACGAGCTAAAACAAAAGATAATTTAACGCATTCCTTGCTATTACTTACTATTTCTGTAATATTAGGTGTATCATTTCAGTAGGAGCTGGATTACTTGCTTGGTCTCTCTCTTTGTCTTGGAGAGAACACACACAGAGCACAAAAACAAAGCCTTTCCCCCCTGCCCCAGATTTGAAAGTATCTTTTTTCCCCATTGGTCTTTCTGGTCAGGTGCCAACTAGGTTAATTGAACTGATTAACCCCTTACAGGTAAGGGGATTCTGCATCTCTGGCCAAGAGGGATTTTATATTACTGCACACATAAAGGTTGTTACCCTTCCCTTTATATTTATAACAGCTCTGTTACAGACTTCCTGTGTGAGCATGAACAAATCACTTAGCTGCTCCATGCCTCAGTTTCCCCAGCTATATAATGGGGAGAATAGCCCTGCTTTGCCTCAAATGGGTGTGTGAGGATAAAGACATTGGCAACTGTGAGGTGCCCAGATGCTGCAGTGAATGGTTACACTTCCAGGGCATGGTGTTTCACTAAGAACAAGGCATGAAATAATGTGGAGCTTCTGTGAACTAACCGCTCCCAACAGCAGAGGGCCTTTATTATTTAACATCTGTGCACAGAGCCAGGAGGGACAATCTAGCTAATGTGCCTGCAACGGCACTGTATGGACCCTATGCGGCAGCGCAGGTAGGAGAGGGAGTTGTCGGTGTCCTGAAGAACCAAGGATCAGTTGTTGTTCATGGTCTCGTGGATCCAGTTGACGTATCTACAGACGGTGACGTAGACACCTGGTTTGTTGGACAGTGCGCATGTCTGGCTCCCCCAAGACACAATACCCTGGAATTTCCCATTGCAGACTAGGGGTCCCCCGGAATCTCCCTAGAAGGAGACAAGACAACACTACATCATAGCCAAGAACGACAGGCAAGAATGCACCTCACCAGCAACATTATCGAACCTACAACGCCGTGACAAGAGTTCTCTGCCTTTGTATATGGGTACAGAGCAGAGCGCACCCAAAAAGGGGGTCTTTTCCAGTAGAAACGATCAACGAAAATGATAACAAATTTCACTTTTGCCCACGTCTTCCACCCAACTTTTTGATTTTCTTTGTTGAAAATTCAAATGCCAAAATAGTTTGGCCCCAACTGAAATATTTCAACTCGGAAATGATGTTCGGCTGATGGGAAGCAATATGCAGGGGAAGTCATTTGTAGCACAACGCATTTGACTGGTCTTAGAACACCCAGGACACATATTACATACTCTTAAGCACCACCTATTGGCACCGTTTGCCTTGACGAACTATATGCTAAGGACATTTTCCATAGAAACCACTTTTCGGTGGGAAATTGGGGTTTTGACTAACGTAAATTTTGGTGAAAAGTATCTGCTCGCTGTGAAAATTTGGTGAAAAACCAACTGCCTGAAAACTACTGCAGTTCCATCTGTAAAGAACATAAGAATGGCCAACAGTTCATATAGCCCAGTATCCTTTCTTCTGACAGTGGCTGGTGCCAGATGCTTAAGAGGGAATGAACAGAACAGGGCAATTATCGAGTGAGCCATTCCCTGCTGTCCAGTCCCATCTTCTGGCACTCAGAGGCTGAGGGACACACAGAGCATGGAGTTGCAACCATGACCATCTTGACTAATAGCCACTGATGGACGTATTCTCCATGAACTTCTCCGGAAGTTATCTTTTTTTAACCCAGTTCATTTTTTGGCCTTCACAACATCCCCTGGGGACCAGTTCCACAGGCTGACGGTGCGTTGTGTGAAGAAGTTTTGACTGGTTGTTTTAAACCTGTGATGCTTCATGGAAATTGTACTTTAGGTATCTCACGTTCTCCTCTATAGGTCGGACTACACCACCCATGATGCACCACGGTCTCCCCTCTTGGAGATGGGAGGTGGTGCATCATGGAAGTCCTAGGTTGTGGTGCATGACGGGTGACGTTGTCTGGCTGGGGAGTCCAGCCTATAGAGAACGGGGACATGTGCTGCCTGAACTATAACTCCTATGAAGCATCACAGTGGCCCTTCCAGATTTTTGTTTCTCTGGCATTTGGTTTGTCACCAAAAAATTTAAATGTTTGTGGACAGCAGACGCTTTTCACCATAAGCTTAGTTTAGTCGAAAACCCACTTTCACCATTTCTGTGGAAAATTTCCAACCAGCCCTAGCAAATAGCTCGTCAAGGCAAAAGGTGCCAATAGGTGGCACTCAAGAGTATGTAACACATGTCCTGGGTGTTGTACGACCCACCAAATGGCTCTTCCCTTCAGCAACTTTCATTCTTCTTTGTGGCTGAACAGAGGCCCTGAGGCTTTCAGCAACAGCCAGGAGCAAAATTCCCCTCCCTGCTGTGATGCAAATGCACAGGGTTGCACGTGAATAGCTTCTTCCGAGCCCCATCGGCAGACCCCCAAAGCGATTGCACAGCTAGGGAACGAAAGCATGGGCGGTATCAGTCTTGTCTGCCACTAGATGGAGAACTTCAGGAACAGCGCAGTCCCAAGGGCTCTGCATCTCGGCGGGAAATAGCTCGTTAAAGGTGACGGGGGCACCAGGAACCAATGCAGCAGCCACTAGAGGGGGGCTGCGAGCCATTCTGTGTTCACCTGCACTGTGCATAGTCACTTTCTTCTGACACTGAACAAGGAGCTCTGTTCTAATAAAGGAAATGGTGTTATCCTCGAAAGCTGCTCTGTCTCCCTCTTCTGCTTCATTCCTGATTATGACAATCCCCAGCCCCTCCCACTGACTGGATTCTTGCTACCACTTTAAAACCACAGGCCAATGTTTTTCAAAAATGCCTTTCGTTTAGGTTTCCACTAACTGGCTAGGAAAGAGAGTCCAACGGTTAAGGTGCCAGCTTGGGTTCTGGGAGTCTGGGGTTTAATTCCCTGCCCCCGCCCCTTTCCAAAAAAAAGCACAGTCTAAGCAGACAAAGTCGGGGGGAGGGACTGAGGCAAGGAGAAGGTCACCTGGTGGCAACAGAACCCCGGTGTCCTGATTTCTAATCCAGCACCTTTGTCTAAGTCACTTGATGGCTACTTGCATGGGCGGAGCTTGTGATTTTCCCTTATTCTCCATTATGCAGAGGGGGAAACTGAGGCACAGAGTGGGGAGAAGTGATTTGGCCAAGGTCTCCCAGCAGGATCTGGGAATAGAATGAAGGTGTCCTGACTCCCTGACACACTGATTCTAGCCATGGGAGGAGCGGCCATTTTTTTTATACCCCAGGTGGGGAAACTGAGGCACAGAGCAGGGCAGTCGCTTGCCACAGCAGGTGGGGCTGGGATTTTCAAACCCAGTTTGAGGGAGTGGGGCGGAGGAAGGAAATGTGGCTGTTCGGCTTCTATTTAAATTCATGGACAGTGGGAAACACAGATCCACAGCGCATACACTCCCCTTCTCTAACGTGTGGACCACGCTGCCGATATGGGGGAAGAACGAGGAGATCCAGGCTTTTCTTGTCATGGGAAGCCTCCCCCCCACTCCCACCGCCGGGACACTCTTGGTGGGGCCAGGTTTATGCATCCTTTCCATTGTCTAAAGCAGAGCACTCAGCAGATTTCAGAGAACTTCTTGTCTTTGCAGCCACAATGGGATCGTTTTTGTGACGGGCTAATCTGGGTTCCTCCAACCCTCCCCTGTCAAGACATGTCTGCCCATTAGCTACTCAGATTCTACTGCAACAATCAGATAAGCAAGTCCCACCCACTATAATTGCACCCACTCGCTCCTGCTCTTTATCCTGGGTTCCTGAGAACTCCTGGGCTCACCGCCAGACTTGCCAAACTCTGGTGAGTCTCAGGATATTTAAGGATTTTCTTAAACCCCCAGCTCCCAGAGTCACAGGATCCTGGCTATAATAATTTGGTCTCAGTTTGGTCGCTGTTTTCAGTGCTGATGGCCCGTGATCTACAGGAGGCTAAATGGTCTGGTGATCTCTTCTAGCCTGAACCTCCATGAGTTTATGACAATGGGAGGACAGCTGGGCAAAATTTTTTGCACAAAGCTTTCTTTCGGTTAAAAGCAGCGGTTTGGTGACATGGAAACATTTTGTGACGTCACCTCGATTTCACCAAATTTGTTTCAGATGGACAGAAACTGACCCAACATTTCTGAAACATCAGAATGTGTCGTCTCTCCAGTTTGGAAACCAAATCTGGTAATTTTCCGGCTCGCAATGACTTTGCTTTTCACAATTTCCTTTTAAAACTAACCCTAGTTACAAATATTTTTGATGTTCTCAAAATGAAACCTTGCCCTCGACCCGAAGCTATTTTTTCTGACTTTTTGATTGACCAAAAATTATGAAAATTTTCAGATGTGGTTGGAGCAGAAACGAATTTTTTCCCTTCCGGAATGGCCAGAGACCATTATGGCCCTGGTCAGTGTAGGAGAATCTCAGTTCTGATTTAAAAAATAAAGCATCTTTCTAACCCTCTTGGGCTGGAAAAATGTGATCCGTGGAGAGGCTCAATAACCAGACAGCAGAGAACAGGTCAATTCTACAGAGCGATCTGATTGCACAGTAAACGGTGCTCACATAAACATGCATCTTAGTAAAGCTCTAGGCAACCTTGTACATTAAATTTGGTTCAATACAGGAGTATTTGGGTGAAATTTTGCACCCTAGTTGATCTAATCATCCTTCTTAGACATCAGAACTCTGAATTGGTCAGAGTTAAGAGCAAACATACTACGAGGCGGCATTACGGATGCTCTAGCTCGACCCCTAGATATGGGCTGAATGCAGGAATCCCTGGGGAGGTTTTCCAGCCTGGGCACACTAGGTCGGTAGAATGGTCTGTTCTGGCCTTGAAAACGATGCCTCTATAGAAAACCACTCAAGAATCCATCGGAGTTGGTCTCACCTTCCTCCCATTCTCTCTCCCCGCACTTGGTCCCATTCCTGCACCAGCTGCCCCCAAGGCAGTAGGACCATCAGGCCAGCCCCCCAATCCCACCCTCAGCTCTGCCTTCCCCTCACCTGGCACGAGTCTATTCCCCCTTCCAGCACCCCAGCACAAAGCATGTTCTCGGTGTAGTAGCGAGGGTAGATACTGCGGCACTTTTGCTGGGAGATAATGGAGATGTTGCCACAATGGAGAACAGGTGGAAAGTACACTACAAAAAACAGCAACACAGCACAATGGATGTTTTGTCAGTGGAAAAAAGTCTTAGAGTTAGACCCAGGGCCGGGGTCAATGGACACAGCTCCACGGACACAGGGTTAGATCCAGGGCCGGGGTCAATGGACACACCTAGAACCTCTCTGAGGCACACGTTAACCTTAGATCAACCTTTCAAAAATCAAACCCTTGCTAGTTGGAAAATGGAGAGGGAGTGGAATTTCATCTTTTCCTCAAAAAAATACAGAATCTCCGAACTTTTTTCTGTTTTTCGCCAAATTTTTTCCTTTTTCACCCCCAAAATCTACAACTTTCCACCAGAAAAACCTCTTTGGGTTCTGGCCAAAATCTGTTTTCATTTTTAGTCAAAACCTTTCATTTTTGGCCAAAGTCTTCTCCAATTTCCAACCAAAATGTTTTTGGCAAAAGTTTTTCAGCACTCATTTTTTCAACCACAAATCAAACTTTTCCCAGGAAGCAGCCCCATGCCATGGAAAATTTCCACTCATCGGCTACCCAATTTTAGGCTGGGGGGGAGATAAAATTTCGATGGCAAATTTCCCAATGGTTCTAATTGGAACCTCAGGAATGATCGATTGCTGAAAAATAAATAAATAAATAAATACATTCCTGGAAAAGTTTTCAGGGGAAACGGCCACAAAAGTTGCTGAGGCAAATAGGGACATGGCAAGAAAGAAGAAGAAGAAATGTGGGGGGATGTTCAAAATTCTAGTAATGTATATTTTTCTCATTTTTCCGACCTGCTGGCTTCTTCCCCCTTGAAGCTAAGACCGCCCCCAAACATTGGTGTTACCGTACATTGAGGGCTTTTTGTTGTTCCCCATCCGGATACCACACATTTCTCCCCCGTGGAGGGGCAACTGGTAGGTAGCTCCAGGGGCTGGACGTTTTTGTTGAAGAACGCCGGGGTGAGCAGTTTGATGAGCATGATGTCATTGTCCTTGCTGGTGGGGTTATACTGGGGGTGGAGGATTGTTTTCTCTGAGACTCTCAGCTGCTCTGTCCAATCCAGATGCTTGATGTTGTGCTCTCCCAGGCGCACGCTGATGGGGCTGCAGAGAAAAAGACACATGTAGAGAAAAGTGTGGGGTGGGGGACGGAGTCCATGGTGGAAACTGGGCACTGGTTGTTGGGCTGGAATCCCTGGGAGAGGTTCTCTGGCCTGGGCTATATAGGAAGCCAAACTGGATGGGTAGAGCATGAATCTATGGAATCCATGAATCTCTGAAAGTGGAGTTAAGGGCACACACACACGGGGGTGGAGTTAAGGGTGCGCTAGCTCAACCATCCGATATGGGCTGGATGCAGAAATCACTAGGCCTGGCTATGAGGTCAAACACAGGAACAATCCCATGGACACAGAAACGTCCTTTTACAAACACACATATACACAATCATGTATACACTCTTCCCCCCTAAATTTACAGTCACACATGCTCTCCCCAAACACACAAATGCACAGCTGCACTCTCCCAATCACAGTCACACATGCCCCCCCCAAACCATTCACAAATGCTCAATCACAATCACACACATTCACACTCCCTAACATATTCACAAAATGCACAACCATGCTCTCAGACCCACTCACAATCACACATGCCGTACCCAACACACGCACACACACATGCACAACTGCACTCTCACACCCATTCACAATCAGACATACACTTCCCAAAACACGTACAACCACACCGTCACACCCACTTACAATCACACACCCACTCAGCTACACACAGACCCTCTCCCCGACACCCTCCACCTCACCCGACGCCCCCACAAACCCACACTCACCAATTGACGTGGCAGTGGGCTGCAGTCACCACCCAGTTTCTGGCAATCAAGGTCCCTCCACAGTTGAGCTGGGAGCCCACAAAGAGGGCGGCCTGCCAGGGTACGGAGTGAGGCCTGCAGGGGGCGCCGCCGATGATCCGGTCATTCTGGCCACTCACTGGGAGGCAAAGCAGAAAGGGTCACAACTGGGGAGGGAGGGGAAGTTCTGTCATGCAGCAGCGCCACCCTGCTTTGCCCCAGCTCAGGATCAGGGTCCCCCAGCTCCCTCCTCCTCTTGCTTCAGTGTCTGATTCAAATGTGCCCCAGGTGCAGCCAGTGGAAATTAGAAAACTTCACCAAACTGTGCCCTCGCCGTTAGCCAGCTCAGTCCCCCGGCATTTCTGTCTCTGACCTGACCATCACCGCAGCCCCTGGGCGCCTCCCGCTCTTTAGCACAGTGACCCTCACCTCCACCTCTGGAAGGCTGGGCAGGGCAATTGTCCCCTTTGTACACTAGGGGATGTAGTAAGAAGAGGGCCTGAAACATCAGGCCATGTATCAGAGGCCTGGTATGAGGCCTGAGGATGGAACTAAAGTAGTCAAAACTTTGCTGATGTAAAGGAAAGTTATGTTGTGAGCAAGAGGCAGGCCCCGCTCACAGAATTTGGCAAGTACAGGGCTGATGTTGGAAAAAGACACATTCCTCAGAGGGGCTAAGCACAGGACACTCAGGCAAACACATTCCAGAAGGGTGGTAGCAGAACACCACTCCCCAAACATAACGGGAACACCCTGACCCATCTGAAGGATAAGGTCAGGATGACAACATGATGGATAGAGGTGTTTTGATTGAACCTACAGGTACAAGGAAATAGAGGGCGCCCTAAGACATCGGGGCAATGGGTGACTTGTCTGTATCGGGGTATAAAGATGCATCTCAGAGGGGGTGTCTTTGGCCAGCCGAGGGGGCAGTGGAAAGTCCCACGACTGGCTGAGCTGGTCCATTGTCATGGTCATCCGCGTGCTAGCGTAACTGTAGACATTGATCCATGGAGCTAGGCCCGTGCTCTGTTGACAATAACCCCGGCCTGGTGCCTTCGCACCTTAACGATCTTGTGGTCATCGGGTGGTTCGTTTGAGGTCTGCTGTGCCAGCCGTCTGTGCAGGGCTGGGACGGCATATGGAGGGAACACACACACGCAGCCGAACATCTGACGACATTGGTGACCCCAACGTTTTGACCACTACTTTAGTTCAGGCCTCATACCAGGCCTTATGTTTCAGGCCCTCTTCTTACTACACAGGAAACTGGGGCACAGAGCAGCAACGTGACTTAACCGAGGTCACACCACATCTGTGTTGGGGAAGAATCAAAGCCACGACTCCCACATCCCAGGCCTGTGCGCTAACCACTGGGCCATCCTTCCTGGCTCCTATTTGCAATTGATCTTTAGCAATGAAAATCACCTCGAAGGGGGGACTCCTTATTTGCTTCACAGGCATCTGCTTCAAGTGCAAAGCCATGCTCACCCCGTCTCTCACAAAACCGTGCACACAGACCAGACATTAGTGTACATTTTGACCAGGGAGAATAATTAATCACTGGACCCACTGCCCGAGGATTTTTTGTCACTGACAACTTTTACATCAAGATGGGGCGTTTTACAAAAAGATCGGCCTAGGGATCATTTGGGAGCCGTTTGCAGGCCCGTGTGACACAGGATGCCAACCGAGATGATCACAATGGTCCCATCTGGCCTTGAAAAAACACCCACTGGTGCACACACAAGCCTGCAGATGTGCACACTGAGAAATACACCCTCCCACACACTAGGGTTGCCAACATTCTACTCGCACAAAACCCAACACTCCTGCCCCACCCCTCCTCCAATGCACCAACCCTTCTCCAAGGTGCCGCCCCCCACTCCATCCCCTCCTCCCTCTGTCACTCGCTCTCCCCACCATCACTCAGTGGCTCATTTTCACCAGGCTGGGGCAGGGGGTTGGGGTGCGGGAGGGGGTGAGGGCTCTGGGCTGGGGGTGCAGACTCTGGGGTGGGGCTGGGGATGAGGGGTTTGAGGTGCAGGAGGGGGCTCCGGGCTTGGACACAGGGGTTTGGAGAGCGGGAAGGTGATCAAGGCTTGGGCAGGGGGTTGGAGTGTGCGAGGGGGTGAGGACTCTGGCTGGGGGTGTAGATTCAGGTGGGGCTGGGGATGAGGAGTTGGGGTGCAGGAGGGGACTCCAGGTTGGGACCAAGGGGTTTAGAGGGTGGGAGGGGGATCAGGGCTGGGGCAGGGGGTTGGGGCGCGGGAGAAGGGTCAGGGGTGCAGGCTTCTAGCAGCACTTACCTCAAGCAGCTCCTGGAAGCAGCGGCATGCCCCCCTTCCAGCTCCTACATGGAGGCATGGCAAGGCGGCGGTGCGCACTGCCCCGTCCACAAGTGCTGCCCCTGCAGCTCCCACAGGCCATGGTTCCTGGCCAATGGGAGCTGCAGAGCCGGCACTTGGGGCGGAGACAACGCATGGAGCCCCCTGGCTGGCCCTATGTAAAGGAACTGGAGGGGGGAACATGCCACTGCTTCCAGGAGCTGCGCAGGGCCACGGGAGGCAGGGAGCCTGCTGTAACCCCAGTGTGACGCTGACCGGACTTTTAACGGCCTGGTCAGCTGCTCTGACCAGAGCTACCAGGGTCCCTTTTCAACTGAGCGTTCCGGTCGAAAACCGGACACCTGGCAACCCTACCCCTCTCACGTCCGCGCTCACATAGTCACATTCACACATTCAAACACAACTGTGCACCGCTGCAGTCCGAAAATACGGTAAGGGCTGTTCTAACGAGGACGGGGATCCATTATTCTCTGTGTCAACCAAGAATGAGAAGGAAACAGCTAAATCTGCATCAAAGGAGGCTGAGGGTAGATATTTGGAACAACTTTCTCACCTCTGGAATCGATTTCTAAGGTAGGTTGTGGAAGACCTGTCACTGGAGGTTTTTAAGAACCGGCAAACACCTGTCCGGGCTGGTCTAGATTTACTTGTTCCTGCCACAGCATGGGGGGATGGACTAGATGACCTCTTGAGGTCCCATCCAGCCCCTCATTGCTGTGATTCAATGTGCACCCAGCCCCACACATTTGCATATAAACAACAGCACACCAACAGAATATGCAACACACCCCACCGTGCAGATACACACTCAGTCTTCTTTGCACAGCACTTGCAGATAAAGACTCACACGCACACACAGTCACGTGCTCACACTCGCACATGCTTGCAGATAAACACAATCACGCACGTACATGTACTCACCGGTTAACACACACACAATCACCCACACATACCCTCACAGAGAAACACACACAGAGATAAAGACAGACAAACACAGGGTTGCACACACATACACACACACAGTCGTGCCCAAGCACACAATCGCACACAAACTCAGAGACAAACACTCACATGCACACAGGCAGGAACGCACACGAGTGTGCAGATACACACACTGAGAGAGCAGGGCTCATCCCCTCCAGTAGGGGGTCACACACACACACACACACCCACCTGCAGTCACCAACAGCAATGTGATGCCCAACTGCTCCATGCCGGTGGGGGCTTCTGGCTCCGGGAAGGCCCCTGTGTGCCAAGGGGCTGGCGGGGAAGGAAAGGGAATCATTACCAGAGAATTGGCCCATAAGAAACTCCCCACTGCAGGCTCCGCCCCCTGAGCCCCGCCCATCACCTTTGCTGACCTGCCACCCTCAAGGAATCCCATGCTCTGATTGGTTCCTGCCAGAGCGTCTCAGCGCTGACCAATGGGAAAAGAGTGTGAGGGACGCTATAGGTCTGGTCGACCCCCCCTCCACCCCGAGGCCTGACTGCGTGCATGGCGCCAATGGGCGGCACGCTCCCTTCATGGGCGTAAACACCAGGGGAGTCACTCCTGATTTACTCCGGGTCAGCGAGGGGGAATTGGACCCATTTACACCATTGGAGTCACTCCTACTTTACACCAGCACGAGCAAGAGCAGAATTGGCCCCATTGATGCCAATGGAGTCACTCCTGATTTACACCGGGTGAGTGAGAGGGGAACTGGCCAGCTTGACACGAGTGGAGTCACTCCTGATTTACATCAGGGTGAGCGAAAGGGGAATTGGCCCCATTGATGCCAATGGAGTCACTCCTGATTTACACCGGGTCAGCGAGGGAGGAATCAGCCCCATTGACACCAATGGAGTCACTCCTGATTTACACCAGGGAGAGTGAGAGGGGAATTGGCCAGATTGACACCACTGGAGTCACTCCTGATTTACTCCGGGTCATCGAGGGGGAATTGGCCCCATTGACACCAGTGGAGTCACTTCTGATTTACTCCAGGTCATCGAGGGGGAATTGGCCCCATTGACACCAGTGGAGTCACTCCTGATTTACTCCGGGTCATCGAGGGGGAATCGGCCCCATTGACACCAGTGGAGTCACTCCTGATTTACACCATGTGAGCGAGAGGGGAATTGGTCCCATTGCCGCCAGTGGAGTCACTCCGATTCGGCCCCGGCGCTCGTGCCAGAGGGTGAGAATCCGACACCGAGAAGTGAGTGGCACCCCTGGATGAAAACCCAGCCCCTCCCCCCAAAAACCACATCATCAACACCCTGCGTGTCGTGATCCCACACGTCATTTTCGATCGTAGCTCAAACATGCCCTGACAGGTCAGAAAGAGGCCCCCGTGCAGCAGAACAAAAGAGAAGCGAACCAGGAGGGCTGGGCCTGTGAATTACCTGCAGCTCTGGCGTCAGCAGCCTCGTGTGACCTGTGGACGGAGACCGGAGCGGTGTAGCTTTATAACATGACTTCCTGGCCGGCCAAGAGAGATCTGGGCTGTCAAATCTGCCCCCCAATCTGAGGCTCGCACAATATCAAGATCTCCAGGTAGGAACCTCCCAACGCCTCCAGGAGCTGTGCGTAAAGGGGGATTGGCCCAGGGAGCAGGAGCAGGGCGGATAATTGTGTTCTGCCCTTCCCCGCAAATTAATCCCTTTGGGTCAGGCAACAGCCCTAGTGCAAGGCAGCTCCTAAGGAACCAGCTCCAATCTCATTTCAGTCCTGCCTGAGGCAGCAGGAAGCTGCTGCTAGTGACAGGGTGTGTCAGTCTTCATTCTTAATCCTTCCAAGAAGGAAGAAGTCACATGCTCTTCCTTCTTCAATTCTACAAGCCATCGGGGCCAGCCAGGCACAGGAGGAGGTGCAGAAGGGGCAGCTGGAGAGGGATTTTTTGCACTGCAAAAAAAAAAAAAGACCACTGGTTCATTAAAAGTGAGATTGGGGGCAAACCTCCTGATTTGGAAAGACCGAATGGCTCAGTTTTGACATTTTTCTAAACAAGAAGTGTTGGATTTTTCGGCTCCAAACAATTTTACCTTTTGAACTTGGATTTAATTGAGCCGGAAAACAAACAGACAAGGCTAAAACCATGGAAAACAGTTGAAATCAAAACACGTTTCGAAACAATCACCGCAAACCGTTTCCGTTGACCCAAGCTGAAATGGTTTCCAGTGTGTTTGTTTGAAAAGCTTGTTGAAAATTTGACTTTTTGGCCCAATTTGGGGGGCAATGTTGCAATCTTGCAAATTCTCACAGGATAGGAGAAACACTTCCAGCCCAGCCCTAACTCTGAGTCCATTCTGCTCATGTCAAGGCCAGGCCAGCCAGGCCTGGAGTTTCCCCATCAACCCAAGGAACCTGACCCTAGAGGACACCTTAGTAATAATACCTGGTTGTTCATGAGTAGATCTCCAAGTGCTGTACAAAGGAGTGCTATGTCATTATCCCCACTGTACAGATGGGGAAACTGAGGCACAATGCAGGGCCAGAACTACCCCAAAGTCATCCAATTAACAAGTGGGACAACATCCTTAGAGACAGGGTGGATTCTCCATCACTTGGAAAATGGACGTCTCTTTCTAAAAGCACCACACTAGTTAGACCATCAGATATGGGCTGGATGCAGGAATGTGCAAGCAACAACTCCTTCTGCTAAAAAAAGTTCCATCCCCTCACTATGACCCCACCCCTCACTGGGGCCTGACCACTCCCAGGGAGCTTATGCAGTGGCAAGTGCCCCTTATCCCCCTGGCCCATTGCTCCAAGAAGGGGGAGCTGCTCTGAGTGTAACTAACACAGTGACGCAGCCTGAATCTGCAGAGAGCCTGAACCCATCGCTGAGAGAGGGGAGCTTCCCTCAGTGTACCTGACTCAGTAACACTGCCTGGGTCTGCAGGGAGCCTGGGACCCAGGGAGCTGCCTTGAGTTTGACCTAACACCTAACACCTTAGCTCAACTGTGACAGGATACCGGGAATGTCATTACAAGTGACACATCTCAGCGAGATGTCACAAGAATAACACAGAACTCCCTCAGGGCAGCTCTCATAATGACTGGGAGGGGCCAGTTTGAATTAGGGCCCAGTATGGGGAAGCAGAAATACGCCCACCAGCTGCTCCACACAGATCCTTTATGTCTCTGTTATCTGGGCAGGGAAGCAACAGACAAGGGACTGAATCACACAGGAGTGAGATTAGATGCCCACTCACTCTAGTGAGCAATGGATCAAGGCCAGGGTAATATGCAATAGTGTCTATTCTCATTCCCCAGCCCCATACATTCACCCACACCTCATCCTTTCCTAGACCAGGAGTTCTGGGTTCAACATCCCGCCTACTGCAAGGAAATATCTGAATGCTCTAGGCCAGCGCTACTCAAAGTGGTGGTCCGCGGACCAGTGCCAGTCCGCGAGCCATCGGCTGCTGGTCTGCATGCATATTGGGGAAAAAATTGCCGGTCCCCCACATCAGATAGCTTGAGAAGCACTGCTCTAGGCAGCAGCCGATTCAAGATCTGGGTTAAAATATTCCAAAAGTGGGAAGCACAGGAAATGGGATTTTTCTGATTAGAGCTGGCCAAAAGCCAGACTACGCAACCCAAGGCAAATCCCGACCGGTTTTCATTCCGAATCGGAGCAAGAACAAGAAAACTCCCTATGGAAACATGAAATTTCAATTTGGTTTGGCTGGAACATTCTGTCTCACTACTGAGACCGAGAAATTTTTCTTCTGATTCCCCACGGAAATGCTGATATCCGGTTCGGTTCTGCTGAGATAAAAATCAAAAAGTTCCACTCCGATTCTGACTTTCCCCCTTAGTTTACAGTGTGTGAACATCGAGGGTTAAGGCTATGAGCCAGTCACGGCTTCCGTGATTTTATGTGACTTCTGCAACTTCAGTCCTGCACAGCAGGACTCCAGCTATCGGCCCTGGGCAGCGGGGCTTGGGCTTCCGTAATTTATTTTTTATTGCCTGCGTCCTGTCCGTGACTTTTACTAAAAATACTCAGGACAAAATCTTAGTCTTATTTATAGTCAAATCTAAAATCAGCTCGATTTTGAAAGGAAAGGTCACGTGAAAATGAAAGAGCAAAGAGTTCCCTTTCAACCCCATCAAACCGCTTTTTTTTTCTTTCCATTTTTCTTTTCTAAACACAATTGCATCCAAAGGGTGGAAATGGGATTTTTCTGATGGAAAGAATGTTTTTTTGGAAAATTTCCCACCAGCCCCCCACAGACAAAGGGGCAGATTTAAGTACCAACTCAGGGTGCCCTCATCTATCCTTGCTGAGCACTACCAGCTGAGGCGTTTCAGGGTGTAGTTCTCCTTTTTTCCCAATGCACCTAACTGACCCAGGAGCCTGAACGCGCCGTGAATTAAGCACCTAAACCCCTTTCCCAATCTGGCTTTAAATCACTTTGGAAAATAGGACTTAGGCTGTTAAGGAAAATTTTAAACCCAGATCTGGAAACAGCTGTGCTCTCAAGAAGTAGGGTAATCCTTTCCATAGTGTGGTGCTGAAGGTCAGAGCAGTAGGTTCGGACACAGCTCTGCTTGGTTCTATTCCCAGCCCTGTGACTTTGATCAAGTCCCTTCATCTCCCTGTGCCTCACTTTCCCTTCCTACCCATGTCTATTCAGAAGGTAAGTTCTTCAGGTCAGGGAGTGTTTCTCATTTTGTACAGCACCTGGTACAACAGAGCTATGACTGCTGTCACTAAATGCTACCATAATACACCTGCTTGTGCTTGCACCCTTATCATTGTCCCATTGGTAGAGTCATAGATTTTGAGAACCAAAGAAACCATTCTGCCCAGCCAGCTTGCCCTCCTGCATGGACCAGGCCAGAGAACCTCCCTCAGGGACCCCTGCCTCCAGCCCAGATCTGGGGGTTGAACTAGAGTGAACTAAGGCTGCCCCTTTGCAGTGTGCCCTTAACCCCCCCACCCCCATCATAAATTTCAAGCCAATATCTGGTGGGTGAACTAAAACAGAGCTTTTAGAGAGAGATGCCTGATCTCTATGGAAAGACCCCAAAGGATGGAGAATCCACCCCATCCCTGGAAAGTCATTCCTGGGGCCAGTTCCCCTTATTCCCAGTCTGGATTGGTCTGGCTTCAGCTCCCAGCTGCTGGATCTTGCTCTGCTGTTGTCAGCTGGGTTAAAGAACCCTCTGCTCCCTGAAATCTTCTCCCCAGGGAGACCCTGATGGACCGGGATCAA